CTCTCTCTCTCTCTCTCTCTCTCTTTCTCTCTCTCTCTCTCACACACACACACACACACACACAGACACACACACAGAGGCTGGTTCTTCCTTGAGTGAAGGGACCACATCTTACTTGTTTTAATATCACAATCTGTGCCACAGGGCCTGCCACCTGGTAGGTAATTCACTGCTGCCACTCTGGTTCCACAGATAATCATTTCTTGCCTGAACCTTGAGACTGGTCTCGTGGCTCCCACCCTGTGTTCTCTGCTTTAGTCCCCACACAGCTGACCTTTTCCTTTAAAACATGAGTGATGCCACTTCCCCACTCAGCACCCTAAGTGCTTTGTCATTTGTGCTTAGAAACCAGTGCAAACTCTATACCTTAGCTATCAGCCCCTGCGTGATGCTGGCTCCCCTCCCTCTCTGCCTCATCTCCTACTGCATCCCTCAGGCACGCCGTCCCAGCCACCAGGCCTCCTCCCTACCTTGAACATGCCAAGGTCACCCTTGCCACAGGGCCTTCACCTTGGCTATCTTCTCTGCCTCACTGGCTCACCCCAAAATCTTTGCCTGACTCACTTCTTTACATTTACAACCATTCCACCTCTGACAGTTTTACTTAATCCTGTCAGCTAAAATAGATAATTCTTACTATCCACATCTTCCTGTTTCATTTCCTTCACACCACTTATTAGATGTAAAAGAATTGTATTTACATTACTTACCCTGTCTCCCCCAGCAAAAATGTTGCCCTGTTTCATTAGTGTCTAGAAGATACAGAGCAGAACGGTAGATGAATCAATGAGGGACTAGATGAGAGTATGGAGGGGGAGGCAGGTGGGAGGATGGGTGGGTAGAAGGGGATGGGTGGGTGGTGGATGGATGGCAGGCAGACAGATGGAGTGGACAGATACATTGACAGATGGAGAGGAGGAAGGGAGGGAGAATGAAAGAGGGATGGATGAAATGGGTGATGGGCAAGTAGGTGGAAGGGTGAAGGGTGAGTGGATGGACAGGGGCGTGAGGGAAGGTGGGTAGATGGAGGAATTAGTAGACGGAAGTATGGGAAAGGTTCACGACAGTCAAGTGGAGAATGATGGGATGGGCCTGAAAGGGTAGGTGGTTCAGCAAGTGGTTGCTAAGCCCCAGTGAATGGCATGTGTCAGTGGGATCTGCCTTTTTTCTTTGTTGAATAGGAGAGGTATGTTTATTGCTCTGAGAGAGGTGGCGGGAACAGGATGAGTTTGAAAATGTTTGAGAAACAGGAGAGGAGCTGATTGGGGATGGGTAGAGGACTGAAGCCATGTCAAAAGCTCAGCTATGCTGAGAAAACAGCACGTGTAGGGGGCAGTGGTGAGCAGTAGGACAGAGTGGGGTTCAGAGCAGCCTGGCCTCTGCTGGCTGCAGTGCACTTCACTGGTCTCCTTGTCCTCACAGGACAACTGCTCCCACCCTTCCATCTCCAGGAGGGCAAGGTGAGCCTCATGGAGAACAAGTTCTGTAACATGCTATATGGACAGAGACTCAGCAAAGACAAGAACTACTCTGTGTACGAGGAGATGCTGTGCACCGGGGACTTCTTGACAGGAAAGGCCATCTGCAGTGTGAGTGAGGCCATTTCTCTTCTTCTCTTGCCTGAGCTCAGTGTCTTTCTTGAGTTCCACCCCTCAGCAGTGTCCCCAGGCTAGTCCCTCCCTATGTCCATCCCCTATGATGGCATCTGCTGGAAGGACCCTCAAACAGCATCTATTTTTGAGGCATATTTTAAACTTTTTATTGAAGTATAATGTATATTCAGAAGAGTATATAATTACTAAGTATGTAGTTTAATGAACTTAGTGTCTTAACATTATACCTGTGAGACCATCCAAACATCATCCACGGTTATAGCTGGTTCATTCTCACGGCTCTATAGGACTCTCATATGAATTGAATTCTATGATCAGTTCTGCTCTTGATGGGTATTTTAGTAGTTTCCAAGCTCTTCATTTTATTTCATTTCCAAGTGTTTTGTATATTTCATGTTCTATTCACAGAAGCCCATGAGTAGAATTGTTGGATTCCAAGGTGCGTGGATGTTCAGCTTTGGCAGGTGTCACCAAACATCTCCAAAGTGGTTGCCCCAGTTCTGCTCCCTCTAGCAGTGGATGAGCTTATATCTTTGCCAACACTTGGCACCTTCTATGCTTTCTTATTTTGGTGCTTTTTTATTTTCTTATTTATTGTGGCTTTAACTTGCATTTTGCCAATGGCTAATTATGTATGTTTTCATGTTTATTGTCATCAGATATCTTCTGTAAAGTCTCCCTTCAAGTTTTTTCCCTCCCATTTTCTGTTGGATAGTCCTGTTCTTTTTGGAGCTCTTGGTATATTTGCATATTCTGGATACAAGTCCGCTGTTGGACATATGGATTGTGAATATCTGCTTTTGCTCTCTTAATATCCAATTTTATAGGTGGGAAAAGAGGCCCAGAGAGGGAAAGTGGCTAACCTAAAGAAGGCAGCACAGCCTGATGCAGTGTTCTGACCCAAGCCCAAACCTGCCTCCACAGCACCCCCAGGGCCCAGCCTCCTGAGCTGGCATCGGTGCTCTGAGCTCCTGCATGGATGGTGCCATGGATGGAAGGGGGGGATGAGGGCTCTGGAGTCAGAGACACTGCTCTACCACATGTCTCTACCCTGGGACCTTCAGTAGCCTCTGTACCTTCTGATCCAGTGTCCTTCATAGTGTAGGATCCTGAGGCTTCCTTCACGGGACTGTTGAAAGGATGGTGCAGAGGGTTGAATAGTGCTTCCCAAATTCATGTCGTTTGGAACCTCAGGATGCAACTTCATTTGGGAATACGGCCTCTGCCGTTTTGATTAGAGAAGAATCTTGAGATGAGACCATTCTGAATTTAGAGCAGGTCCTGAATCCAGTAACTGGTGTTTGTAAAGAAGAGGGAAAGACACAGAGACACCCAACTTCAGACTTCTGGCATCCAGAGCTGGAGAGAATAAATTCCTGTTGTTCTTGTAAGCCACCAGTTTGTGACAAGCTGTTGTTGCTGCCCCAGGAAAGGTGGACAGGAGGGATGAGATGCATCTGACCCATGGGAAGGCCTCGTGGACAGCTGTTTCTTTACTGCCCAGTGAGCTGTGGAGGCAGAGGGTGGGAGATTGGCTACCTGCCTTCCTGGTCAAAGGCAGACCCAGATGTCTTGGCTCTCAGTCCTAGCTAATGGTATGGACCTGCTGGCTCTCTACCATGGCCCATCTTTGTCACAATTAGTTGTGCTCACATGTGGAGCCTTTTTTGGCCCCTGAGTCCCCATATGGCTGTCACCTTAGACCTTTCTAGCCTTGTCCTACATCTGCCTTCTCCTGCAAAGGCCATTCCTATGGAGCTCAGGGCCAGCATACTTTGTCTGTCCCTTGGCCCCACTCCTCTAGTTTCTCTCCCTGCTGAGGACACAAATGAGCTGCACACCTGAAAGTCCCTCCCCCCTCTCTTAGCCTTTTGGTCTCCACAACCTGTCCTTGAGATTTCATCTGGATTCATGTTCTGGATTCATGTTCTGGATTCATCTTCACCTGCTCTGGACCCCATCCTCCATCCTTGGCTCCCTTCTCTTCCCTGAAGTGTCCTTTCCCCTACATAGGGCATCCAGAGACAGCTTTGAGGAGCTCAAAGGAGACTTAGAGCTCAGACTGTGGGGCAGTAGAGACCTGGTTCCAGTCTTCCGTCTGTCATTTACTGGTGCTGTGACCGTAGCTGTTTCCTCACCTGTGAAATGGGGTTGCTAATGGCCTTGATTTAGTAAGGTTAGCTGCCTGGCATTGAGTAGGTGGTTAACACGGGCTGGCTTTCATTTTCCTGTCTCTTCCACCTCCCTCTATCTGGGTTGTATTTGTTCTTCTGGGCTTGTCCTACACCTGTGTTCTCAACAAGGGTGGAATTCACTGCCCTGCCCCACTGGACACACACACACACACACACACACACACACACATAGTTTGCTGTAGCTCGCTTTCCATAGCATATGTGAGTACTGATGTTCCCTCTGCCTTCTGAGAGCTCCCCTGGGGCAGGGGACTGTTGGAGCCTTTGCCATGTCTCCCAGGCTGGTCCAGAATCCATTGTCATTTGGCAATGACATAGCTCATCTGTGTGAATTGCTGAGGCCTAGAGAAGACAGTGACCACTTCCCCAGACAGGGACCAGGCCTTCCCCTGGCCTCAGAGAGCTAGGGGTGCACTGTGGGGAAGGCCAAGGGCACTCCAACTGGGATCACTGAGGGGAAGAGCTGCGGCAATGATGGTGCAGTCCTACTGTCCAAGGGGAACCCAAGTGTCAGTTTCCTGGAGTTGCTTTGACAAATCACCTCAAACAGGGTGATTAAAACAGAAATTTATCATCTTACATTTCTGGAGGTCCAAAGTCTAAAGTCAAGGTGTGGGCATGACTGGTTCTTTCTGGAGGCTCTGGGGGAGAATGTTTCCTTGGTTTTCCTGGCTTCTAGAGGCTGCACACATTCTTGGCTCCTGGCTTCTTCCTCCTCAGAAAGCATCACTCCAGCCTCTGCTTCTGTCGTCACATCACCTTCTGTGACTCTGACCTCCTGCCTCCCTCTTTCCTCATGGGGACCTTGGGGTTACATTGGCCCCGCCCAGATGATCCAGGATAATCTTCCTCTTTCCAGATCCCCAGTTCAGCCACCTGCACAGTGTCTTTTGCCCTGTAAGGCATCACAATCACAGGTTCCAGGCATGAGGATGCGCATCATTGGGGGTCATTCTTTGCCAGCCGCAAGAACCCTTCTCTCTCCCGCTAGCCGTCCTAGCCCAGCCCTGCCTGTCAGCTGGAGATCTTGTTTCTCATTTCACTGAGAGCACTGGAGCAGTCAGACTAGTGCCGGCTCATCTCCCCAGCCCTGCATCCCACACTCTCCATCCTTCATCTGTGCCGAGCCTCAAGTCCAGCTGACCTCACAGGCTCTCCTGCTCCGTCCTCTGTCTCTCTTCACGACTGCTGAGTGAACTCGTAGCAGCAATCTGTTCCTGCTACTGCCCAGTTTCTCTGCCTCTCTTCTCAAAAGACTCCTCCAACACCATCAAGTCTCTTTGATCCACTCCACCCAAGTGTGTCTCCACCATGCCACCAAAGCCATGTGGCCAGTGTCCCCACCAGCCTTGGTCTTGTCAGATAAGGTTGTCCTGAGTCTTCGTCTCATTTGGCACATCGGGAGGTCTCACTCCCATTTCCTGGGCCCCAAGCTGGACAGCTGCTCTGCTCTGCTTCTAGTCACCTCCCCACTTACCATGAAATGCTGGCGATCCCAGCGTCCCATGCTCAGCCTGCTCCCTTCTCTCTCTGCACCTTCTGGTTAGTGGGGAAGGCTCAGATTCAACAGGTCCCGTTGGCTCCTCCTTAAAATACATCCCAAATCTGACTGTTCCTCAGCACCCTGGCCACGCCCCATCAATAATCTCTCACCTCTCTCCTGTGGCTGCCTCTTGACTGGGCTTTCCTCTCTAACTCATGCTCAGAACTGTCTGTCCTCCACAGGGCACCAGAATGATCCACCTAGACAGGTCAGGTCATCCCCCCGATTACAGTTCTCCACTGGGGATAGGCCCTGTGACTCACATCCTCTCTACACCCCTGCTCCTTGCAAGACCAGCCTCATTCCTCTTTCTCCCACCCACCTGGCAGGTCCCCTCTTCCCTCGTTTGTGCTTACTCTTCCCTTTGCTCCTGCATCAGAAAGGTAGATTGTTTCCTGTTTGGAGTATCAGGTTAGAAAAGCCTCATGTTGTCACTAGATAACTTCCCTGACCCTGTCCCTTTTATGGTTTGTTGTCACATCTGACCATCATGGGTTAATTGGCTTGTTTAGAAAGTGCAGTGAAAAGGGCCTTGTTTTTTCACCCCTGTGCTCTCAAGTGAGGAGGCTGCCATGGATGCCCCCCTTGCAGATTGGATGGGTGCGTAGAAGAGTCACTAAGCTTGGTTGTGGCCCCTGCTCCCACACCTCCTGAGGATGAGAGCCTCCTTTGGCCAATGAAATGAGGGGACTACTAGTTGGTCTTTCCCTGATAGCATCTCAGGACTCTGGTAACCCCTATAAGCTTTCTGGGAACCCTTGCCTGTTCCCCCAGCAATGCAGGTCACCTCCACCAGGCTTCAACCTGTACATTTTCTAAAAAAGTTGAGAGCAACCTAAAGGCCTAAATGAATGAAAAAGGAAGATGGCAGCAGAGTAGGTAGATATTTCTCACACCTCATCCCTGAGCCAAACTAGAAATAAAAATAAATTGGAGGAAAGTCACCCTGAATTACCAACTGAAGGGTATCTGAGGAGGAGACTTTTAACCAAGGATGGGCAGAAGAGGCCACCTTGAGACTTATAGGAAAGGCAGAGACAGGCTGGCCCTACTCACATGGAAGGCAGGCCAAGTATACAGAGGGATATATCAGCTGGTGGGGGAGGTTCCCCTGAGAAGCGTGAAGCTTATATCCCAGACTGGGCTCCCCAGCCCAGAGCATAAAAGCCAGGAACAGGCACCCACATAGCATCCAGCTCTGGAAATGTGGAATGAGTTTTGTCTGCCAAAGAGAGGTG